GCGAAAAGATCACCCTGATCCGCGAGCTGGGTCAGGGGTCGTTCGGCATGGTGTACGAGGGCGAGGCTAAGGACCTCGTCAAGGACGAGCCAGTCGTCAGCGTAGCCGTCAAAACCGTCAACGAGTCGGCCTCCATCCGAGAGAGGATTGAATTCCTGAACGAGGCATCAGTCATGAAGTGAGTTGGTCTCCAATTTGAGCACTTCAAGTGTTGTAATGGAGAGGAAATTGCAGCTACTCTGCGTAATGCCGTTTCAAGCTACATTAATGTACCTCTTGAACGTACAATCGTACCTACTCCAAGACCGCTTATCATATGATAAATTGCCACATGATTATAACTGGTAGAACCAGATTACAACCAATCGCCCACTCATATGACTTAGTCCCTTTACGTAAGTGATTTGCATGGTGTACTGTGATGAGGAGTTAAATGCAATGACCTTGTTGTTCTGTTCAGGACCTTCAACTGCCACCATGTTGTGAAGCTGATGGGAGTGGTGTCCAAGGGGCAGCCGACCCTGGTGGTCATGGAGCTCATGGCCCTGGGCGACCTCAAGAACTACCTGAGGAGGCACCGCCCAGAGGAGGACGCTGGTCTTTCCGACAGCCCTGCATCTAACGAGACCAAGAACAGCCCCTTCGCTGTAAGTTGGGAAACAACTGCACAGATGAATCACATTAAAGACCCTTTTAGTTCAATTCAGATATGACTCAAAATCATCCTTAATAATAGTAATATACATGTAACTTAAAGATAGACATTGTCAACTGAACTAGTGTTATTTGGGGGTATTTGTAGTGTAGTCAAAGTGCCTGAAACAATGTAGTTCAATTAAGATATAGTTCAAAGTGATCCTTGATATGACTTAAAAATAGAAATTCTCAAGTCAGGCTGTGTTATTTGGGGGTATTTTTAGTGTAGGCAAAGTGCTGTAAATGATAGTAATCAGTCTTGTAACAGGAGGAAGTGGATGTTGACCTTGTTCCTTCACCTTCAGGAGAACGATCATGATCCACCACCTACTTTCAAGGACATCATTCAGATGGCTGGGGAGATTGCTGACGGCATGTCCTACCTGGCTGCCAAGAAGTTTGTGCACCGTGATCTGGCCTGCCGCAACTGTATGGTGGCACAGGACCGAACTGTCAAGATTGGAGGTCAGAATGATAACAATATTAATTTTGTAAAGATATTAAGGATAGGATAAAAGAGTTGTTTGTAATTT